AAAAGGGAAAAATCAGCTTTTAACAACAATAGGTTGCATTGAGAGTCTGCTGATTCAGGTCAGTTTGGATGAAGCTCACTTAGGTTGCCTGTTCTTCCTGACCGTCTCTGATGAGGAAAATAAAGCCCGATTTCTGTGAGCGTACCTTCAGAAGAGGCGTCTCTTCCTTTTAGTCCTTTTCGGCGCATTTCGGCGACGGGGAGAGGGCATTCTGCACTTTTGTTGCTTCACTAGTTCCGGTTTACAAGTCTCACTCTGGTGAAACCTGTGAACTCTTGTGAAGCTGGAGCAAGCTCGTCAAGCCATCATGGTAAAACCTGTCAACTCGAGAAGAGGCTGTCTAGATGGGTCACGTCGATGGGAAGTATCAAACGTGCAAAATCCCTCCCCCCCCCGGTCGCTGAATTGCGCCGTCCTTTCCTATGGACATCGAACTTTCGACTGAAGCATCAAAATCAGTTAAACCGATTTCCGATGTCTTTATAGAGCAATTTACTTTACCGCCCTTCGTTTTCATTATTCTTTATTATATCATATATATTTATATCAATATACTATTACTAATTCTCTGGCCCTAGCTAATTCTCGAGCTCTTAGCGGTCGCCTCAAGTTTTTGATACCAGCTGTGAGCAATTAGCAACTTTCAGCTGCCAAAGGCTACAGCAGTTCGTCGATAAGTCCGTCGTTGACGAGTGTGAGGAGACTCAAGTCCATTCGGATTAGGGACGGAAGCCAAATGCTCTTCCTCAGTAATTAGCGCCTTCCATGTGGGAGAGTTTGCCGTCCGCGATTAATCGCATTACGTCGACTTTTCAGTCAGGGCACGTCCTGCTATGGGGGAAGTTTTCGCTAAATACGACCCTCTACCCCTCCCCCCCCCCCATCTCCATACCCCATTCCTAGATTTCCCTATGCCCTACCACTTTTCCAAAGAACATCACCAGTTTTCCCCAAAAAAAACTACCATCGAGCCAAGGAGGAAGGAGAGGCCAGGGCATGTGCACATGTGAAACGGGAAGAGCCGCGACACGACCTCCCTCCCCTTTTACCAATTCTCAGACTTTCTCCAACTTACCGCCACTTTTCGAAAATTTCCCTACTTTTTCCCAAAAATTTCGCTGTCGAGTGGGCAGGCGGTATATAGTACCCATGAAACAGGAAAATCACGAAAAGTCAACCAAGAAGTAACAGAAAGTATATACGACCCCCCCCCAAATGAGCAAGTACGACCCCCCCCCCTTTTTTTTACAACGTCCGTGAAGCGAGAAAAATCAACTATCAAAATAAATTTTTCCAGCCCAAATACGACCCCCCCTGTTGGGGATTCCCCAACAACGATGTGCCCTGGAGAGGCGGTGGAAGGAATACATAGCGCACCATGATACAGGAAGATACGAAAAATCAATTAAATGACGAATATTCTTCTTACTGAGGCAATCTGGCGAGCTCCCGTATCCTCTACAACGACTACAATATGACCCTCTCATCCCGGTTCGTCCCAGCGTACGACCTGCACTGTTTCACAACCACTGCCCTGATGGCTGCCCTTAGTGAAGAGGAGCCAGTTTATCAGCTTGTGATTTTAAGGTTCTAGACATTACTGGTCGCCATACGGAGTCCCAGTAATTTGTTAGAAATTGGGCAGCCACTGGTCCCTAAATTGTTTTGAAACTCGGCACAGAATAAGCGAGAAATAGATGCGCCTCCAAGGTAGTGCAGGTCCTTATATTTCTTGTCTCCGAGACGTTGAGACGTCTAGCAGCCAACAATTATCTCCAACGACACCACGAACCTAGTCAGCCAGTATTAATAGGTGGCACCGTTGGACCAAAGAGCACGGCAACCAGCAGGGAATTTGCGTTTAGAATCGAAATATCACATTCACAATCCACGTGATCAGTTCTTCCCTCCGTCAACCAGGGCGTTCAATTCCCCTGGAAAAAGTTAACCATTAGTATTCCTCAGTCAATGATTGGTGACTATGAATAGTAATGGAATCATGTTGAGGCAAACTACCACGGAATTGAACTGCGGTTGAATTGAATTACGATCACGTGAGCCGAATATTTCGAAAAAAATCGTTCTTTTGTTATTGCTGGATGAAAGGGGATTCGTCACGCCTAGCCAAATGAGGGATGGGGCCGCTTTCCCCGACTGGTTGAACTATCCCTGACTCCGGAAGTCGAAAGCTAGATCCGAAAGTTTCTTATTTCACTGGTGAGCCGAAAACTCAAAAAAGCGTTTTTTTTTCACATCCTGGGATATTTTCTGACGCCTCAGTGAACAAGATTCATCAATATTCTCTCTGGACTGCACTTCCATCCATAGGTACTGAAAATTGCATTCAATTTTTTTTCGAAAAATTTGCAGTATGTAAAAGTGACACACGCACATAATAACAAATTTTTATACTGGCACCAAACGTCGTACTGAAAACTACAGTCTTTTTCGCCGCGGATGATGGGGCGTGTCATTGGGGCAGATTTTGGCACGCCCCCAGCTCGTTGTCCATCACTTGCTATGGAACAAGACTGACGCGAATTATGTGATACATACTTATCGCTTGTTTACTTCAACAACTGATGGAAGTGTAATTTTGAGAAATGGGAAAAACTGTTACCAAAAAATCAGGTAAAAAACATTTGTCTGCAGCTTTCCAGTTTCTGGAGTCTTGTGCTGTGTGAAATTTGTAAATATTGCACAAAGGACCGCTTTATATCACATTTTTGAAGAAGAAAATTTAATGCAGGTTTTCGAATTTTTATTGGTGGAAGTAGCCATTACGAGAAATAGTGTTTGAAAAATGATCATGAATTTTTCTTGGGCCAAATAAAGCTCTTCAGAATGATGTATTACCCTTGGTTCTATACCATCACTCAAAGACACCATGAAGAATTATTCTCCTCGGGAATTTATCCCCAACCTGATACAGTCAAGATCCCTGCAAACGATAGGGCTTAGGACCGTGGAGCGTCGCCAGGGCACCCTTTCTCACCAATTGTAGCGGGCTAAGGATGACATCATTGGTGGAAAATGCTTGGCTGCCCTCGCCCCACTGATCGTGACGCGCCATATCATTTGCTGAGATTGTGACTGTACTTTCAGCTGTGACTTGGAATCAGTCGATGAGATATAGAAGATCCTGCACATATCCAGTTCCTGTACAAGGGTAGCGTGTGATATCTGAAACTGAGTCATTGTGTCCGACCAGTGAGGCACAGATGTTTGGCCTAGTGGTGATCAAACATCGAGCCGAATGTTCAGGCTTCGTCTCACGTGTAATGAACTTTGAAGTCGAGAAATTGCTTTGCAGTCTTCTGGGTTTATTGGAGACGGCAATATTACCTCATTTATTCACAAAGTAGAATGGTTTCTGACACACTGATATGGTTAGTGGTGACAGCATAAATCATAAGCGAATCGGTAAACTTCATTCGCTACTAATCTAGCAAGTTCGAGACGTTGTGAAGGCACATTTCCCTTCACTCCGGTCTCCGGAATTTGAACTGGATTTTTGAAGAAATCAGTTCTCGAGGATAGAATCGGCTGGATTCGCCTTGGGGGCCAAGATTTCGGTAAAATGGGTTAGTCAGCCACAAAAGGTTGCAGGACGATGGCAGCGCTGATGGGCGTCGCGTGCGACGTCGCGCGGGCAAATGACGATATTTCCGATTCGTAGATAACGACAACAGGCAATGTAGAATCGAAAATAGTCATATATGTCTACAATTTCGTAGCCCAGTGCTCCAATCGACCGGCTAACACGAGCTAGGAAAACGCCGCGCCCATGGTTACGCGCGTTCGCAAGAGAATCGAAAATGGTCATGAATATCAACATTTTCGTAGCCCAGTGCTCAATTGACAGTCTAATCGACTGAAGCACTGGGCTACGAAAGCGTAGACATTCATAACTACTTTCGATTGTCATGCCCGTCTCTCGCGTTAAAGGCAGTTGGCACGATAAATCCTCCGAAAATGAGTTGAACTTTGTACGCCTGGCAGACGGATTCCGCGACCGATGAGCAGGCGCTTGCGTGATGCCTGTTAGAGTTGCTTATGATTGCCTATGAAGCCACAACATATCCGGGACGCTCAAATGCCCGCCACGCCCCCCCCGCGCCACCAATGGACGACGCTTCCGTGACGCGTCTGATTGCGATTCAGAAGCTGACAGGATAGGTATGAAAGGGCCCGTGATGCTGCATGGATATGTAAGTACACATATGCAGCCGTACCTTCGGTAAGGGTTATTTGCAAAATACCTATGGGAAACTCGTCCAAAATTGTTTACTAACACAGTGAGAACGAAGGTTCTTTTTTAGCAGGATTTTGATCGTTTCACTCTGTTCTTCGCCATTTGACCACTATATATGCGCCACTATGCAATTTTGGGCCGAGTACCAAATCATTGCCAGCTGCTTTTAAGGTACAAGGTTGCGCAAGTGACCCGCCCGCACTGCTACCATCGCATCCTGTTGTCTTGCTTGTTTGCATACTCCTTCGCTGCTCTCTTGTCTGGTCTCTCGCCGCACTTCAGTTTTATTTCACACCAATTAGAAGTCTATACAGATAAGACCGAGAGAATTTGATCAGGCAACAGGCTCCTGCTCGTCCTTGAAATCACCGCGTTGAGTCCAAGGCGTAGTCCACGCTGGTCATGCGGGCGGAGCCAGGCCCGCCATTGTGTCTTCCTCCGGCGACGCGCTTCTGCTCTTTGTCTGACTAGGAACAAGGACCGCATCAAACAAAACGAATAATGCACAATGATTGGCTGTCTCCTCCTATACGATCAGCGTGGGGTGTGCCTTTTGGCTCACGTAACAAGAGCAGTATCAAGGGAGGGATTTCAGACACCTAAAAAAGTACTTACTCTGTTCCTGAAATGCGTCACTATATTTAGGGATGTCTGTCGTTCAAAAGCGTTTCTAATAGAGCGATCCGTCTACAGTTACATTTACATTACATTTATGTCATCTCTTTACTACTTCTCCTCAGTTCAGACATTTCGGTTGGTCATAGTTGGTTCTGCAAGAACGGGCAAATCATCACTTGTTGGACGATTTCTCGATGCGGACTTTGAGGATCGATATATTCCTACAATTGAAAACTTTTACCGGTGAGTACGTACGTTATCACCCTGTCCTTTTTCCGTGCTTAATCTCGAGAAAATAAAACTATATGCTCAGCCTAACTAAACTTGAGAGTAGATAAGTGCTTTTGAGTTATGCCTAGTGACGCCACATGCCTCTCTATCACCTCGCTTTTCGCGCGGGATATCCCGCCCATAAGACAGATTGCTCCGCCTAAAGAACTATACCCTTCTAGCACTCTTACGATTGGCTTGTTAAGGTGTGCTGAAAAGTTGTTTCAGGAAATTGTACAAAATTAAAAGCGAAGTCTATCAGCTAGACATTATCGACTGCTCAGGCAACGATCCATTTCCAGCCGCTCGCAAGCTCAGCTTTATCTCAGGTGAGAGCTCACATGCTGTATGCTGTACTTTCGATTTAATTACACTTGTCAACATAAAGAATATTCGAACAAATAGCTAGTCATTTACTCTAGAGCTAATCTATAATAGTATAGTAATCTGTATAGCTGTAAGTGAAAATGGCATTTTTCTTGCCCACATTTGGCTCCATTTTAGCCACCGTCCTCATCCGAAAACAAGAGGGGGTGCTTTCAAGTGGGTGGTAGCGAGCACGGTCGCGGCTGTGAGAGTACAGACGGAAAAGGGACAGATTCATATGTGTAAGAGAGGAAAGTCACGCGGGGAAGTATGTAGCCGCCGCTTTCGCAGCTTCATGCTTGGGAACGCCCCTTTTAACCCTCTGATATGGACGTTATGTCAAGGTGCTTAATTACGGATTCGGCGCTAGAATACGATCCCAACTAGAGTCCCCACCTTAGTTTTGCAGGGAATATCGACGAGCGGCGGAGGTGGACAGTCGCTCGTCCGTGCAGCAAAGTAGACATCACTAGCAGAAGAAAGCGCAGACAGCACAAGAAGCCTTGGGGTACCCCCCCCCCACCCTTCCTGCTTTACCCGACAGTTGCTTGAAGACAGTGGGCACGATGGCTGGGGCGGGCGGTTACTGCCAACGTCATTGGTGGAAGGGCTGCGAGAGGGCGTTTGGCCACACCCCACTCAGCCCTTCCACCAATGACGTTGGCAGTGACCGCCCGCCCCCAACCATCGTGCACACTGCCTCTATAGATACCTCCGCTGCAGTCACAGCTAATTTTGTTGATACTCCCCTGCAATCCTTAGATACGGACAGTATGCGAGCTTAGGATTGCTCGCTATCCCCAGGAATAGGCACGTCTTGCCGTTAATAAAATTTTTTTTGCAAAACCCGACCACCCCTTCGGAAATCTCCTCCTCTGGTACGACTTCCCTTCCCCTTCCCCATCCCCCACCTACTATCTTCCTGACTTGTCCCAACTTCCTACCTTCTTACGGAGTGAGGAGGAAGATCATATTATTTACGAAATGCGGGGAAACCAGGAAAAATCAACAGAATAAATTATTTTCAGCAAGGGCCAATACGATCCCCTTTCCCCAGCGACCAAAATACGACTGCGCGGGGACCCCCAGTGTACGAATGTACGACGTACCCTGACCAAAAAAAAGCAGTCACATTACCAGTACTCAGTGGAGGTTCAGCCGCTCCTCTTTAATTTGCTCTAAAGCTGTTTCCATTTCAGGTGATATGTTCCTTATTGTATCTTCTGTTGACAATGCTGATTCTGTAACTCATATGATTGATGTGAGTCTTCCGACTTTGTCTCCCACCGATCGATATTGGTCAATTCTTGGCTCAGATCATTGAAAATCATTTCAGATTCGACAACAAATTCATGACTGTAAAGCTTCACGGGGTGCCGCCGGCGGTGACGACACACCATGTGTATTTATCCTGAATAAGGCTGATCTCCCAGAACATCGTTGGCAGGTAAATATAGTATCGTTTGCTGAGGATGATGAGGCGTGTCGGGAGGGTTGGCTTTTGCGTCGCGCCAGCCTGTTCTCCACCAATAGCTGGCGCTTGCATTTCGGCAGTTGGTGGAGAACGGACTGGCTCAGCACCAAACCCAGGGACCAGGGACCCCACTGCGACGCGCCCTAGCGTCTGCAGTGAACAGGACTGCATGAACGATTGTTGATTACCCACAGAATTTACTTATGAAGCTTTTTAGACAACTGAAAAGGAAGTAGCTGAATTGGTAGAGCAAGCAACAGGATCGAAAGACAGCTTAATAGTTTGTTCGGCAGCTACGAATCTTAATATTGATAAGGTAATCGGGAGTAACATTTGTTCACCTTACTTACTATTATACATTACTCACAGAACTACAGCACATGGTGCAGTTGTTCGTACATTTGCTCTAATTTCTTTAACTTGGGAAGAGCACTTCGTAAAGGCTTGATGGATCGTGTACGGGAATGAGATTTCTTTTCGTCTCCGAAGTCGTACCTTATGTGCTCGCTGGACACCATAGGCGAAGTTTGGCTCAAAAAAATCTAAGTTCAATGTTTACACGAGATAGACGTAGTGGGGAGTTACGGTCACGGAGGTGGTACCACCGAG